TCTGCTCTGCGTCCACTGCTCCGCTGCAGCCTGGTGGCATATGGGGAGAGTCTCATCCCCTGAAACACTGGCAACCGAGCAGCTCCAAACTTAGGAACTGAGAGTAAAACATTCACACAGCAGAGAAACTTCTTGAAATATTATCTTGAATGTATGCTTTGACTACAGACTCTTTAAAGGCACACAGCCCCCCACATTTTTAGCCATGCCCCTTTCCCAGAGAAAAGGCCAGCTTGTTAAAATGGAGAAGTAGGGAGGGCAGTAGAAGTAAAAGACAATCTTGAAATGCAACTAATTGAAGAAAAAACCCACATCAGTAAGGATATAACCTCAGTATCAAATCAACCATATAATTTTTTTAACTTTTAGCAAGGATCCTGTATGTATGGTTTTTAAAGCAATAGATATAATCATGGGATGAAAGGGAAGATCCCCTTATGATCACTTGTGGTGGCAAGCAAAACCAAAATGGGTAGAATTTCATGGGTATTTTTGCCAACAGAGAGATTTCAGTTGTGAGGTCCAATAAGAAGCTGTGCAGAGTGCTAAACTATCAGTCTGCTCACATGTGACCTGGAAGATGAACTGCACTGTGAATAAGTGAAAAGCAGTAAACACAGGAAGAGTAAGTCTTAATTGTACACTGTAGTGACTCAAAAAGATATTGAAAATATCACATGAAAGCACAGGCTGACAGAAAGATGGTGCTAGAAATTATTGTGGAAGAAATTAGGGGACACAAAAGAAAATGGTTTTATGATGGCCTACAAATACAGAATATAATCCTTCTCCGAGAGGATGAGTGGCATCCCCATGCTTGACTTGCTCCGGCACCACATGGCTGTGTCCTTGCTGGCCAGACCCTGCCCTGCCAGCCAGCTGCCTGTGCTCGGCTCCCCGTCCCGCTGGCAGCTAGGAGCCCATGCTGCTCCCCGACAAGGCTTTCTTGGAGGCCAGATATTTGGCGTTGGCCCCTGAGGGTGTAGGACTGACATTTCGGACTTTGTCTTGTGATAAAGTAAAAGTGCCCAGGCATGAATTATGCTTGTGGGGAATAATACAGCTTTCATGTTGCAACATTAAATGCTCAAGACTCTTTGGGTATGTTTGGTTGGTTGGTTGGTTTAGTACTCAGAAATCCACGTGCACATCTTAAATATCGATGTCGCAACAACAGAAAAAATGAAATTGTTGGGGCAAATTTTAAGTTGTTTGCTGAAGGAATTTCTTCCCCAGAGGGAGCTGGAGGAGATGGGGTGCATCTGCATATGCAGAGCTACACAGCCAAGAGAGAGCTCCACAGGTCCCAAGAGGTCAGGGCAGCGGTGCTGGCCAGAGAGGGTCAGTTCTGTGTAGCAGTGATGCACTGAGTTTCTGCCAGGGAGAACAGACAGAGTTTATGCTATCCACAGAGAACCCCTTTCACTGTTATGTTTGTAACCAGCGGGAGAAACTCACCATCCAGACAGAACTTTGCATGCCTTAGCACTCCTTCACAACAGGAGCAGAAACTACATTTAAGCCTACAGGGAATAAATCTACTTCATACCTGCACATGGCTCTGCCCTCACTCCAGTCACACGCATCAGTCTCTGGGGTCATGGGGCTGCGAGCTTTCTGAGCATGAGGGGAAACTGCAGAAGATCTTTGGTCTGGTTTTGTCCAGGCAACGACCAGGATTATGGCGTACTGGATGAAGAGGAAATGAATTTGACTACGTGATCCAGATGAAACTAAATGCTTGCAAACCACTAACAGTGCAGCCTTTTCTTAGGGCCTCCATAGAGTCCATGACCCCTGGGAGCCCAGAGTTCTCTGGAGGTCCCAGATGGGACCAGCACCAGGGTCCAGAAACTGCTGTGTTTGTGCCAGCAGGTCAAGGGGTGCCATCCTTCCCCTCTGCTCAGCACTGGTGAGGCCATGCCTGGAGTGCTGTGTCCAGTTCTGGGCTCCTCAGTGTAAGAGAGACATGGACACACTGGAGAGAATCCAGCGAAGGGCCGCAGACATGATGAAGAGACTGGAGTATTTCTGATGAGGAAAGGCTGAGAGGGCTGGGACTGTTCAGCCTTGAGGAGAGAGGGCTCGGGGGGATCGTATCAATGTATACCTGAAGGGAGAGTGTAAAGAAGACAGTGCCAAGGCGCTTCTCAGTGTTGGCCAGTGACCAGGTGAGAGGTGGTAGACACAAACTGAAGTACCAGGAAATTCTTCTGAAGTATAAAGAAAAGCTTTTTAACTGTAAGGCACACTGAGCACTGGAGCAGCTTGCCTGGAGAGGTTGCTGGGTCTCCTTCCTTGGAGATATCCAAAAGCTAACTGGACATGGTCCTGAGCAACCAGCTGTGGTTGACTCTGCTTTGAGCAGGGCGGGATGGGACTAGATGACCTCCAGAGGTCCCTGCCAACCTCATCCACGCTGTGATCCCTCCATCTTCTGTTGATATGCTGTGAGACAAGGCTTTACAGGACTTTTCAGACAGCATTGACACACTCTATCTCTGACAGTGTCCTGGAGCTGATTCACATGTATAATTAGTACAGAGCCACGGTCTGGTCCTCCACTCTTTTCTCACCCTCTAACCCCTGCCCAGCACACTTGCACCACACCGAAAGATAATCAAGAAAATACTACTTCATGGAAATGGCCAAGTGCTGTTTGTGGCTATTGTACAGATTCTCAGGACCCCAGGGGTGTTTCAGCAGAGGGGGAGTTATCGGGCGAGTGGATCAGCTGTGAGATACTTCTCTGGGACAAGGAAGGTCCTGGACACTGGCAGCATATGGCATTACAGGGCACTCTTGCCATGGTGTGTGGGGTTGGAGAAAGTAAACAAAAAGTTCAAGCAAAGACTTTATCTGCCTTCTTGCACTGCACTTTGTTTTCTCATGAGGCAGAGCATCAGCAGTCAGCCCATGCCCTGGTCCCTCTGCCTACCTATAGTGCACTGGCATGCCTTTCTGATTGTTAACCTGTCCAAGAGATGTCATATGATTATCACAGAACCAACCCCAAAGACGACAAAAAACTGTGCAGCCAACGCAGCAGAGGAGAGCTCCAGTCTCCAGAGGGTTCAGGCTCTTGGCTAGGACAAACCCATTTGTCACTACTCAGAACAAACGGATGGGAGACAATGATTGAAATGCTGGTGCTTTACATCGCTGTCCCACTATTGCTAATGTCTGTGTAGAAGAACACATAAAGGGTTAATCTAATTAGTCAGGTTTACTCCTGGGACTGACAGAAGTCAGCAAAATTAGAAATGCCCACTGCAAAGTCTCTCCCAGGTTTACCAGCCTCCAGGGACTGGAGGAAGAGTGCAGTACAATCCCAAATCAGAGGTGTTTAGTACAGTGCGTACTGTCACACCACTGCCATGGGCATGAAGCGTGGCACCCGAGTAAGCTTCGCTGCTAAAGGGATGACACTGGAAAAGCATGTCAGTCAGGCATCCCCCCCGCCACCTCCCCAACAATGGCTACCCCAGGGTCCCCCTACTCTCTGCTGATGCAACTCATTTTTTTTTTTTTTTTTTTTTTTTTTTTTCTCCTGAAAGCCAGGCAGAGACTGTGAAATAATCAGCACTTTTGAGCCCACTGTTTCTCTTGTCTCCAAGGAAACTCTGCTATTATGTGCAGCATCAAAACCAGCAGGATTTTCAAGGTGGGAAGTCTCCGCAGGTAGCAGCTGGGAAGCACCCTAAGGAGGAGAAAAGGGAGGAATTTTTGCAGGAGGAGAGGGGTAGGGAAGAGCTTTGCACAAGCTAGGCAAAGCCAGGGGTCACTGAGAAAGCTGTACTAGTCTTTCCAAGGTGGACAGCTTCTAGTTCTGGGTCAGCTAGTGAGAGGGCAGAAGTTAAATAGCCCATCCTTGCATGGAGGGAGCGAAGGCTCAGTGCTTGCGAGGAAGGGGCGTACTAGGCTGTTCAAGGGGAGGCAGACAGGGCCATGCTTTGCCCTCAGGACTCTGCTCAGTGGCCTGACAATTGCAGTTAGCAGCTATCAAGTCCTCCTTGCTTTTGGGCAGATCATTGACACTCCAGAGTAGGAAGCTACAGTCCCTCCACCACCAGCTGAGTAAAATAGGTGCTTTGCAGGGACTGTCTTTGCAAGGATGGTAAAAGAGGAGTGGATGTTTCCACTCCCACCTCACCTTCCCCTATCAGTGCTTGTGATCAGGAGCATTGAATCCAGCCACTGTGCTATTAGCTGGGTTTTCCAGTCCTGAGGACCAGGATAGAGAGAGCTCACAGACCCTCTGGCTGGAGGCATCCTTGCCCCTCATGCTGTTGGATCATTTGCAGCCTGGACCATTGCTTGTCCTTGGGAAGGGCAATATAAGCTGAAAGCAATGCAGCCAAAGTGCCTACGCTGAAAATTCCATTCACAGTCCCAATTGCGGTGAACTCTGCCATCTTTGTGTCACTACAGCAGCCCCTGGCATGGCTTTCTGCTCAGTGAAGTGCTAGGGCACCTCCATTTTCCACTTGCTACCTGGCAGTCAGCTCCCTCCCAGCCTACCATGACAATGGACCCAAGAGAAGAACGGATCTGCCCAGAGTCCAGCTACTGACCCACCTCTGTGAGAGAGCACCAGCTAAGGGGAGAGGAATCTGCAACGGGCAGGAATTTCAGTCCAGCTAAGCTCTACAGTGATGAAGTGATCACCAGCAGGTCAGCAGGTTTGGGGCCTAAGCCCAATACTGGGAGGACAAGTGCCACTCTCCCTGTTGCTCTCTATTCATGCTAAGGTCTTGTGATAAGGTTGTCTCTCTCTAGCTGCCCACCAGGCATTTCACCCCAGCCCAGAACATACAGCTCCACTTTTAAAGCCTCCCCTCTGGGCAGTCCCCTGTCCTAAAGAAGGGTGAGAGCTATCCCAGCTGCTCTCTCATGCATATGCTCAAGGTAATCTCCTGCCATCCTCCTGTCCTGCTTCAGCCCCTGGACCTGGCACAGCTCTTATTCATGCATTCAGAGCTGCTGACAAAACCACTCACCTGGAAAAAGTGCTGGTCGTCAAGCAGGAAGAGCAGCAGGTCTTTTTAGTCTTGAGGGATTATTCTGAGTTGTTTTGTTCTTTAATTCTTTAAGCTCAAAGGCAGGATGCAGGATTTTCTCCTTAGGTACAGCATTAACAGAGAGCTCTGAGCAGTACCTCCTGAGAGAGGAAAGGAAGACTGTAATATGCTCAGGATACATGGCAGTAGAGGGTGGGGGAGTGGCATGTAGGAGGAGACTGAAAAAATCTTCAGTGATTGCAGGAGACCAGAGGACAGAAAGCACCTGTCACCATGATATTGCATATAGCCTACAATGGATTTAATACCACCAGTGTTTTTGTACTTTCTTCTGCCTCTTCACACAAGCTGCAAAGAGAGTTAGCAGTAACAGAGATCAGGGCAAGCTGTTAAGTGAGAACCAGATCTCATTGTCATTCCACACCTGCCCCTCAGTCTGTTCCTTCCACGAGGGTGGCTGTGTGCAGAAATCCATCCAGCCACAACAGCTGGATACCCTGAACAGGCAGGTCCTTCACCAGTCCAGTCTGTGTAAGCAGGACCTCAGAGATCCAGACACAACCCTGTGGTTTGTCCAGATCAGCCCGAGGGGATGGACATGTGTCTGCGCCTCAGCTGAATCACTGTAATTTCCCATTGGTGTGTTAGGCAAGTCACCAGGAGGAATCGATTCACTGGTTGTGCAAAGGAAATACGTTAGCAATACAGTCTGTCAGGGAGCCAGACTCTGCTTTCAAGAAAGCAGGCAAAACTTCCACTGTCTTTATTAATTAATCTCAAATATTGATTCCTGCTGCAGTTTCTTTGATAGAAGTCCCACATTTCAAAATTTCCATGAATGCACTATGCCAAGAACACGAGTCAGGTTGCAGGTGTGAGCACCACACAGCCCGTGTTGGGCTCTGAATGGGGCAGAGTGAAAAATTATGGCCAAGAAACAAGCCCCAGCACCAAGGTTACAACACCACCTCTGTTTCTATTCCTACCAGACACATGACTCACAGGGTACATATCAGTTATTTCCTGACAGTAGCCTTCTTCATTCAGGTGGCACCAGTGCAGGGGCTTTGCTTCATGCTCCAGCTTCAGCACACCAAGTGATGTGTTGTGTCTGCAGCTAGAACCTGCCACAGTGTTTGAACTCAGCCAGCACGGGGTAGGTCAAAGTCAGGCTCATCTGACAGGGAGTCCTGGAACTGAAATCCCCCCAAGCCCTATGTCCCCATCAGACTCTGTGGGAAGAGGAAAGATAGATCTCTGCAGCCCAGGTTACAGAGAGCAGCTCCCAACACCAACTGGCTTTTTGCAGACATTAATTGTAGAAACATTCAGGCTGGAAAAGACCTTTAATATCAAGTCCAACTGTGAATCAGGATGGTGATTAGATGGGACTTTGCTGGGCAGGCCATTTGGAGCCTGGGGTCTTGACTATCTCTGTCATTCTTGCTTGTTTTAACCTGCTCCATCTGCTGAATCAGCATGGACACAGGACACTGCTGCATCAGGAGACAAGGACATACTGTCTGCACCTGACAAATTGCCTGGTCTTTACACAACTCGGCTGCTCACATGTAAATGGAGGAAATGGCACTAATCTTCCTACTAAAGGCTGCACAAGTTCAGTGATGTCTCAGGTCACACAAGTGTCATCTGGGGACTAGAAACCCAAGCCCTGTACTCTGCAAAGTTTCAGTCCTCTTTCCAGCAAAGCACATATTGGAATGGGCTACACAAGAAGACAATTTTATTGCAAAATGAATATCTCTGGCTATGGGGAATAGATTCCGGCACTCTGCCTGCACCATACACCCAAAACACTCCTGCAGAAGTGTGGCTGAGAGATAGTCCAGCCACAGAAGGAAGAGGCGGCGGATCGTGGCAGCACAGCTTTGTACACTGCTGATCTCCTTTGCTTCTTCTGCTGGGTCCAACAACACTGGCTGCTGGTGGGGCGGTACAAAGGACATCTCTTAGCCTTCATGCCCCTGCCTCTCTCAGTGGCTTAGCCAGCAGCTTTTCTTACAGGAGGGTACCCAACTTCACTGTTGGCTGTCTGCTGGAGGCTCAGCTGACCTGCAGCAGAGTGTTCTTTGACTGGACAAGTGCATTTCTGACACTACCCAGAGAGGGGCAGAGCTGCCACACACTTGGCCATTCCTCAACTGCTGCGCATTTCTCCCTGAATCTACCTCAGGGAGAAATGGTTGGCTGACAGTCAGTAATTGCCCTTTCCACTTCCTATGCCTGAAGTTCAGCTCGGCTCCTAGAACCTGTACTAATTCCCAGGTTAATACCCCAAGGCCTTTTTTAGCCATAAACTCACAGTGACAAATTCCTTAAACCTTCTTCAGCAACTTTTTCCATGTTTTATTTTGACTTACACCTGTGGCAAATTCCAGACACCATTGAGTTATTAAATAGGGCACAGAGCAACAGTCTGGAGCTATGGAGGAGGTGAAGAGTGCTGCTCCCTTGGGACAGAGGTGCCTGATGCCCAGATGGAGTCTTTCCAGGCTGGAGCAATCCTTGGTGAACAAACACCACGGAGAGCTAACTCCCCCAAGTCTCTCCTCTTTCGGTGAGTGCCAGGCACACTTGATCACCCACATCACACAGAGGCCACTTGATACTGTAAATTACCAACAATGGGTAAAAAGGAAACTCGCCATATCACCCTTGTGAAAGGCAATGAGAAAAGACGTGACAATTGCACCTCATATCACTTAGTCACCTTGTAAAGGGTCTCCTGATGCTATCCTTGCACGGCCGTGTGAAGATAAAGGAAGGGCTTGTTGGGAAACAGCCTGGAATAGCTTTCCCAAATCAGCTCCCTGGTGATTTTCTCCACAAAGCACCTTTCAAAATGATTTATGCTAATCTCACAAGTAGTCTAAAAATGTTACGTAGGGACAGGGCAGTTTGTTTTACACCCACTCCCTCTAAACATGCCTCCAGTCTGTATCTCTGCCCAACTTGGAAAGATCTCAGTCCTAAACAAGTCAAGTTCTGAGCAAAGGACTCTTGAGAAATTTTTACAGAGGGTTTTTGTATCTAAAAGAGAGGTGTGCAGGTCCAGTAGAACTACTTCTTTATCATCTCTGTTTTTTTAAGGAAGATATCTATTGGATCTTTAAAAAGCAAAACACCTGAAGATGGGCTATGTGCTGATTCATAAAGTAATGATAAGGGAAAAACCCAAATGTGGATCTCTGTGAGCATGCAGCTATGACAAATTCAGTTTGCTATACACAACCTGGATGAGGCATTGAGGCTGCAGGGCTGGGTTAGAAAAACCCAAGCAGATGGCTGTGTCCACCATCCCACGGTTTCACTGTCTTCCAATAAGCGCTTACTGCATTAGCAATTTCAAAGGCTGATTTCAATTTGTCTGAACTGCTGAAAAACCCCAAAACATTAAGGAGCATGTCGTAATGAATCGCAGGTGTAAGTGTGCACAGCCCTGTCACCTGGACGTGCGGGTGACTGGGAGGATGAACGTGAATCATCCTTATGCGTTGTGTGTATGTGGATGTTTTCTGCTGGAGTGAAGAAAGCCACTGGGATATTCCCAGTTGCTAATTATTGTGGGGAAGGATGTGATTTTCTTGTATGTTAAACTGTCCTTCAACCCTTCCTTCCTTGGGCTTTGCAATCCTGTAGTCTTGTTCTCCTTGTTACAGTAACCTTAATTTGGGGGTTGGGATTAATTTTGTATCCTGCACTGCTCACTTGGCCCAGGGCACAGAGTCCAATTATGCAGCTGTGACCTTCATTCCAAGTTAGCAGAGTTTCTGCAAATGAATCTCCTTCATGTTTCAGAGAGCTGCTCAAATAATGGCATTTTCTTCCTATGGGAAATGCTGATATTTCAGCACTTATTTTTGCCCTATTTTGGAACAAAAAGTCAAAATTTAAACTCTTGCAACACACGGAGTTCAGGAAAATTCAGAAATGTAAAGAAATGTTTTGGTTTGGATCAGACTGACGTAAATCTACTCCTACCTGAGCTGTAATACTTTTTCATGTGAGTAATTTTTTTACCTCATTGGATAGACTGCAACTCATGATACTCTGCAGTGTCCCCCTGTAGCTGAGCTGCTATGGTGCATGCAGCCCAGAGGGAGAGCAAAGGCCAAGGAGAACAGGGCCAGGAGGGCTAAAAGAGAAAGAGCATGTCATGCAGTTCTCACTGACAGCACCTGCCAGGACATTTTGGTTAGAATTTCTGATGGGACAATGAAACCAAGAAAGTGATAGTTAAAAAATGGTATATCTGATGACAAAAATTACCCCAAATTTTTGACTAGGTAGTTTCAACTGATGAGTGAGACGAACTTTTGTAAGCTCTTGAAGTTTCTGTCATTCAAAAGTGCCATCATTTTCTCCTTGGTTCTGCTAAGAGTGTATGTGATTGAGACATTTCAGCTATTTTGAATCCCAGCTCGTGCTCCCTGCATAGGTGCACAGAGAACTTGTGCTGCACACTTCTAGGGGGAGTTCTGCTTTGGGAATTTGTGTGATTTTTACTGTACCATTTTTTTCAGAAATCTCTGTATATACAGGCCCAGCCAGTGCAAACTGCAGATGCCTAAGGTGGTTGCTCTGGTGATGTCTGAAGTCTTAAAAACACCATTTTATCAAACTGTTTAACAAATTTTACTGACATTTCCACTGGAGAGTGAATCCCCCGTTCCCTCCCTGAAAGATTCCCTGGTGGAGACTCACCTGGATTCCCTCAGAATGACAATAGGTGCGAGGAATCATTTAGCTTTTTTTCCCCTGCCCTAATCCACCTCCGACTCTTCCTTCCAGCCCCATGCTTTTCTACTAGCAGTTGTTCTGCCTGATGTATTTGAAAGAGGCTTGATTCAGTTTATATTTTACTCATGACTCGGGAATGCTGCTTTCTTCCACGGTTTGTGCAGCAGAGACAGTTCTAACGCCAATGTGGCACTGTTTTCATTCCTTTTCTTCCACATGCAGACTGCATCTATGCTTCCTTCCTCCTGCAGCCTGTGTTGGCTGTGCTTTGTACAGCACAAACAGCTTCCCCAGTTCTCAAGTTCCCAGGTTTTGCAGCTCGCTCTCTGATCACTGTTGCAGTTCCTGTGTGCAGCAGAGTTTCAGCGTGGATGCTAACAGCCATCAGCTGCCTGGTA